CATTAATAAATAGCATTGAAATTTTCTGAAATAAAATATTAGCAAACAGAATCCAATATCACATTAAGAAAATATACATCATGAATTAATGGGATTTATTCAATAATTCAAGGTTGGTTCACTATTCAAAATCCATTAATACCATAGTCCACATTAATAAACCTAAGGGGGAAAAATAATCTGATTATTTCCAGAGATACTGAGTGAGCCTTTGACAAAATCCAATACCCCTTCATGAAACAAACAAAAGTCAACTAGGACAAAACAAAAACCCTCAAGAACACAGGAACTGAGGGATGCTATCTTTATATTTTATTTACTTATGTATTTATTTATGTCCTAAAGCTAATATCTTATTTAATGGAGAAACATCAGAGACATTTCCTCTAAGATCAGGAACATGACAAGGATGTTCTATTTCCACTACTCTTCAACATTGTACTAGAGATGTCCGCCAAATGTAATTAAACAAGAGAAATCAAGTAGAGTCATAAGAGATCGGTAAAGAATTGTGAAGACTATTACGAAGATTACTTGAACTTAATCTTAAGTTAATAAGACAGCTCTGGAAGGGCTCACAATAAATGCTAGTCATTATCTTTTTTTTTTTTTTTTTGAGACAGGGTCTTGCTCTGTCACCCAGGCTGGGGTGCAGTGGCACTATCACAGATGACTGCAATCTCAACCTCCTGGGCTCAAGCGACCCCCCCACCTCAGCCTCCCAAGTAGCTGAGACCACAGGTATACACCACCATGCCTGGCTTTTTTATTTTTTGTGGAGACAGGGTCTCACTATATTGCTCAGGCTGGTCTCAAGCTCTTGGGCTCAAGCAGTCCTCTCACCTTGGCCTCCCAAAGTGCTGGGATTACAGGTGCAAGCCACTGTGCCTGGCCTCATTGTCACTGTTTGTAAGTGACACACTGGTGTTACCATTTCAGCTCCCTGTGAGTTCCAGTGGTGTGTTTCTTTCGCCTCCCCAGAGTTCCCTGCCTCGGCAGTCTAGAGAAGAGCAAGCAGTCGGCTGTAATGGAAGGCAGAAGACACAGGCTAAAGTTGTGGCATGCTGACACTTGCAGCTCGTATGAGACCAAGCAAATCTGTTTACCACTCTGGATGCTGGTCTCCTCATCTGAGACGAGAGGCCTCTGTGCCTGACATCTCTCATATTTTGGTGTATGATTACTGTTGAACACCTGCTTGCCTCCACCAAGCAGATACAGGGCGGCGGGAGAAACAGCTCATGACCAGAGCAGAATAATCCCAGCAACTCTCCTTGCTTGGAATTCTTTTCTGCCTAATATGTGGCCCTGCCCCCACTATGAAATGTTCCTTTTGCATCAGAATTCGTGAACAGTGTCTGAAAGATTCTGGGAAAGCCTCCATAGACCTGGGACCTACAGCCACTTTGCCAGAGAAGAACGATGAATCATCCTGAATTTTGGCTCTAGCTTCTTTGTTAGGGCAAAACACAGAGATCCTGCCAGCTCTTGGAACGAAAGGAGCATTTTTCTTTAGACAGTGACAAGCCTGAGGCAAGGGACACAGTGTGATGAGAGTTCCCACTCAGAAACAGAGGTGCTCCTTGGAGTCTGACCAACTTGCCCCTTGACCAAACTTGAGTAGGGCTCCTCCGAGTCATCTTTCTTTTTCTTTTTTGATGTTTGTTGTTGTTGTTGTTTTGTATTTTTGAGAAAGTGTCTCACTCTGTCTCCCAGGTGGGAGTGCAGTGGTACAATCATGGCTCACTGCAGCCTCAACCTCTTGGGTTCAAGTGATCCTCCAACCTCAGCCTCCCGAGTAGCTGGGACTACAAACATGCCTGGCTAATTTTTACACTGTTTTGTCGAGATAGGGTTTCACCATGTTACCCAGTCTGGTTTTGAACTTCTGGACTCGAGTGATCCCCCCACCTTAGCTTTCAAAGTGTTGGAATTATGGGCATGAGCTATTGCACCCTACCTGAGTCCTCTTTCTGACTCTTGGACTCTTAGTTCAGTTTTAGCAAGAATTCTGCTGAGTCAGTTTAGCAAAAATCTCCTATCCTTGATATCTGATCACATTCCTCATTCCCTACCCTGATAGCTTATCACCCTGGCCTGCCTTCAACAAGAATCCTAGTGAGTTGGTCTATCAAGAATTGCCCCAGCCCTCATGTTCCTCTTAGTACTTTTCTATCCACTGACCCCAACATTGCTCCTTGGCTATATAAATCTCCACTTATCCTGCTACGTTTGGGGTTGAGTTTGACCCTTCTCCCCTATTGCAGAACCCCACTGCGGTGGCTCCTGCTTGAATAAGTCTTCCTTACCATCTTTTTTTTTTTTTTTTTTGAGACGGAGTCTCGCTCTGTTGCCCAGGCTGGAGTGCAATGGCACAATCTCGGCTCACTGCAACCTCCACCTCCTAGGTTCAAGCAGTTCTCCTGCCTCAGGCTCCTGAGTAGCTGGGATTACAGGTGCCCATCATCACACCCGGCTAATTTTTGTATCTTTAGTAGAGATGGGGTTTCACCATGTGGACCAGGCTCATCTCGAACTCCTGACCTCAGGTGATTTGTCTGCCTCGGCCTCCCAAAGTGCTGGAATTACAGGTGTGAGCCACGGTGCCCAGCCCATTACCATCTTTAACAATGGTCATGAATAACTTTTCATGAAGAATTCCCAGGATGGTGAACCACCTGCCACGTGAGCCTGTTCGATAATCAGGGATGAGGGATCCTTCATAGCAGCCTCTAAGAAACCAGGCGTGTGCCTGTTGGTCTCAAAGTCACCTTCTCTTGGCTCCTCCTCCTTGCTGGGGCCTGGGCACAGTTCAGCAGCCAGGAGGAAGATGGCTTTGCGTTTGTAATTTGTGATTTGTGTGTCCCCGCTCCTTGCTCAGCATTCTACCCTCAGCTCCTTGTTCACAGCCTGGTTCCCTGGAGCTCCATAAATACCTGTTGAGTGAATGAGAGGATGGAGGCTCCTGCAGAGAGAGAGGAGTGGAAGGCGTCTTTGGACTTCACACTTGGCTTTCCTGGCAGAGGCCTCAGGGAGGAACAACACGGAAACAAAGATGGCCTTGTCCTGGGCCCTTCCCTCCCCGCCCCACCGTCCTCCTCTGCATCCCACAGTGGCCTGGGGGGAGGTGGAAATGGACCCCTTTGTTCTACTTCCAGAATTCCGCTCCCGCGGGGTGGAGGCCTGGCTGCAGCCCCCACTTCCTCTGCCAGTTCTTCCTAATCCTGAGGGATTCGCCAAAGCCTTGGAGACCCACACCGTGGGTCTCACTGTGAGGACGGGCCTCACCTCACAGGTAGCCTCAGAGATGGACATGGGTGCAGAGAGAAGAGGGGGTCCCTACCTGTTCCCTCCCAGTCCTCTTCTTCAGTGTCCCCAGGGCCTGTCACACAAGAGAAACGAAACTGGGAGGCTCCATCTAGAGTGGAACCCAGGTGAGCACTAATCCAGTGTGGCCTGCAGACCTGCTTTTCCCTGGTCCCCGACATGAGTAAATTCAGAAAAGGAGGGTCAGTGTTTGGAGATGTTAACATGATAGAGTACTTTTATGACTATTGAATCAAATAATTTTTCAAGGGTTTGAATGGATTATCAGACCATGGAAAGATACAGGAAACTTGAATGCATGTTACTAAGAAGTGAAAGAAGTCCATCTGAAAAGGCTGTATAGTACCTGATTCCAAGTGTATGACATTCCGGGGAAAGCAAAACTCTGGAGACAGTAAAAGGACCAGCGGTTGCCAGGAGTTAGGGGAGAGAGGCATGGCTGGGTGGAGCACAGAGGATTTCAGGGCAGTGGAACTACCCTGTATACTGCTACAGTGGTGGATACACGTCATTACGCATTGTTCAAATTCATGGAATGGACGACACCAAAGGTTAACTCCAGCTGGAAGTCCTGGTCTCTTACCCCTGCCGCATTCTTAGCATTGGGCCTCAGTTTCCTTTTCTGCAAATTGAGGGGGTAGCATGATCTGACCTACCCAATTTGACAGTTCAGCTAATGTCTGGTTCTTTTGACAAGTACAGGCAGCCTCTGGCAATGAGGGGCCATAGACTCCCCCTCCAAACCTCACCATCAAGATGCTCCAATAAAAGCAGGTCTTGGGGAATTCTGCCAGCCAGCCACGCTCATTGGCAAGGCTGCACAAAATAGGGTGTACGCTTGGGGAAGTCTTAGCTGTCCTCAGACTCTCAGACATGTAGCTTGCTTGAAAGGTTGGGGTTCTGAAGGAGCAGCCTGCATCTCGGTCCATCCTGTCACAGTCTCACAAAGTGGGGACCAGATTCTGATGCCTCATTCATACAGAGGCAACGATGACTGTGCAGGGCTCCTAGCTGTCCACATTCATAAACATTATTTACTTCGCCAGTGAAAACTTATTTCAAACATCCCTTATGCTAATTAATCAACCCTCGGGTGTAATGTTGATGACCACATTTGAAATGCTTTGTCAACACCTCTGGACTATGGATTCCTAAAGAACTCCAAAGGCAAAACAGCTGCCCTCCCTATGTATATTCAGTTAACCTATGAGCATGTGTATTATTAATGCCTAAGTATTTAAAAGTATATTACTACCCAGATGAACCAGCAAGGAGATAAATCACATGACTTCTGAGTTCCCTCCCATGCTAAATATATGTAAACTATTGTATTTTATATATATATAAAAACATATATAGGCCGGGCGTGGTGGCTCAAGCCTGTAATCCCAGCACTTTGGGAGGCCGAGATGGGCGGATCACGAGGTCAGGAGATCAAGACCATCCTGGCTAACACGGTGAAACCCCGTCTCTACTAAAAATACAAAAAAACTAGCCGGGCGAGGTGGCGGGCGCCTGTAGTCCCAGCTACTCAGGAGGCTGAGGCAGGAGAATGGCGTAAACCCGGGAGGCAGAGCTTGCAGTGAGCTGAGATCCGGCCACTGCACTCCAGCCTGGGCGACAGAGCGAGACTCCGTCTCAAAAAAAAAAAAAAAAAAAAAAAAAAACCATATATATATATATGTTTCTGTGTGTGTGTGTGTTGTTTTTTTTTTTTTTTCCCTTTAATACTCCTTAAAGTCAGGGAAGGAAGGCAGAAGTAGGTTTTCAGATTTCGCCATCTCTCAAGTTGCAGGGACAATTCTGTGAAGCTAAGCCAGGCCCCTACTTGCTCCTGGTGTCCATCTAACTGATGCTGTCAGGTTTTATGCCTCCTTTCCTCTTCCAGTTGCTGCTGGCAATTTCTCATTCCTCGAGATGGCTGAGGCCATCTCTGTGACTGTCCCCTCAAGACTAGAAGCCAGACACTGTCCACACTTGTGGTGCAGACCTGTCTTCCTTGAGCCTTTCAGGTACATAGGGAGGCCTGTGGTGGCGGGTGGAGGTGAGCAATAGGGTTCAGAAGGGAAGGTGGAGAGGGATGCAGCTAGGAAAAAAACAAAACAAAACAAAACTGATTCCAGAGCTGTAAGAAAGGTGCAGCCAGGCCTGAGTGAGGGAAGGGAAGGCCAGTCCCTTCTCTTGCCTGGCTATGGGACTGGGACAAAGTGGTTGGCTAAGAGCTGTAGGGCTTCACTTGGAGAAAGCAGTTTGAGGGTACACAAGCAGCTGTGAGGGAGAGAAGAAACCAGACCGGGCCACGTAGGCAGTCCACGGAACGTTGGAGAGCTACGGTGAGGCCCTCAAACAAGGGAGGGGCTTACCCGGGGCAGTGGGCCAGCCCCTAGTGGACAGCTATGGTGCCGACAGGAGGACTCCTGGAGAAATGGAAAGATCATGAGCCTGAAGGGGAATTCAGTTTCTGGGAATGGGCAGATAAGAATGGAGAAAATGTCATTCTGAGATGTCACTGTAGTTCTTCCCCAAACACAGCTGACCCCAGGCAAGAGGCCAGACCCCAGCCTGTTCACAGCCCTCCATCTCTCCCCTGTTTCCAGGGCTGTTTCCACAGCCCCCTTCCACCCCAGCTCAGCACCTCCACATAAGTGTCTTTCCCCTCCTTTCCTCCATCCCTTGTCCCCACCACAGTTCCCACTCTGGCATTGTTTGTTGGCTTGGAGCCAGGGAATCTGTGGTCTGGGGAGGCAAGCTAGAAGTCTTAACAGCCCTTTCTCACAGGAACATGAAATGGCAAATCCATTTCATGTTCGGGAGGTCGAGGAACAGAGCAGTTTCTGGAGCTGGACTGCCTGGGTGTGAATGCAGCTCCACCCCTTAGCTGCGGGGAGACCATGGGCACATTACTGAACCTCATTTTCCACACCTGTAAAATACAGACAATAACAGCTTCCACCACCTACACTGTCATAAACACAAAATAGGAGTGTGTGCAAAGCTCTTAGCATAGTAGCTGGTGCACAGGCAGTGCCCAGCAAGAAGCAGTACTCCATTTCCTATGTAACCTCTTTACTCAGCTCCTCACCTCCACTCGTGTCTGGCCCAAACTATTCTCCATGCAGCATGGTGATCTTTTGAAAATATGCTGACATCCATCACTCTCCTGATGAAAACTCCTTAACAGTATCTCATTGCTAGCACAGCAGGCAGCCTGCACAGCGACTGCCCACCGCCGCCCTGACTCGGGGCTGTGGTCACAGTAGCCTCTGCTGTTCTTCACCTCTCTCTACCTGGAACATTATTCCCTGACCCGCTAAGTCATGACTCAGCTCAAGTGTCATTTTCTCAAAGAAGCCCCTCGTAACCACCTACTGCTCTTTTTCAGCAATAATCCTCAATCTGTAATTACTTCATTGATTTATTGTTCATGATCCCATGAGAAGGCAGCTCCATGAAGCCATCCAGCCAAGCGCTTGCTGAAGGAATGAAGGACACGTTATCCACGGGTTTTAGGTGCTTTATAAATTAAACCGGTTCAGTGGCCTGCCCAGTGAGCCTGACCACCACAGTTCCAAGTTCCCAGCCCTCTGTACGGTAAGGCCTGGCTACCTAAGTGTAAACAAATATTACACATCAAGCCCAGTGGCCCAAAGTAAACATTTTTATTCTCAGTTCTGCCTTAGGGGTGTCTAGTTTTGCAAGCATGGGTAAATGGAATCAACAATAATCCTCTCCTTAAATGTCTGGCATTAAAATTTGTCACTTAAAAAGTTTCTGGTTTTGCCTAAAGAAAGTGTGATTTGAGGGTGACCTGAAACAAGGCTTGAGGCTTGTGGACACATAGGGTTAATCGCCTTATTTCCTGCCAATTCACAGAGCAGTGAAAGGCCACAGGCAGCTATAAATAGCGGTCAGGCAGATCTGTCCTTCCAAGAGGGAAAGAACTTAGCAACAAAGAGAGACGCGAGGGGTGAGGCGGGCAAAGAATCATTAGCCCAGTTTCTGCCCGTGCCAGGGCATGTGACCCTTGGGAATGCCGCGAGGCCCAGCAGGGGAAGGAGAGGATCAACGCTTTCGTAACCTCCAACGCGGTGCATCCCAAACCCAGACGGGCCTGGACCGACCTGTGCATTTACTCCTGAATGTCCTCGGTCAGCAGACACGGGAGCCAACAGGTGGGAAAACGTGTCCTCCAGAGTGCTCCTTTTTTTGAGGGGGACCCAGCTCCCAGGCAGGAATGGCAGAGAGGATGTGGATCCTTTCCCTTGGAGTGGCCTTCTGTCTTCCAGGGTTCACAGGACAGTCTCTCGGATGACCCCAATGAGGCTGTGTGGCCGCTCAGCCTCCACTCGCCGGGACCTCCTCTCGGCTCTGGGCCTCCCCGCCGGTGCGAAGGTGCTCAGGTCGCCGCAGCTCTGGAGGTGCAGCAGGCCAGGCTGTCTCCGCAAGGGCAGCGTGCGGGCCCTGGATGTGCTGGGTTGCAATGGGGCCATTATCTTTGGGAAAAGAGAGGGTGGGGAGAAGTTAAGTAAGCTTTACCAGATGTGGCCCTTTGACCTACCTCCTAGGTCCATCCACCTATCTTAATGTGTAATTGCTTTGAAAAAGAAAGAAAAAAACGCATTTTCCCAATGTGGAACTCACCTGGAATTCCAGGGGTTCTTTGTAAATCCTCCAAATGTTCTACCACTTCCGCTGTAGACCCATAAACCACACTTAACTGATTTGTCCGCTGCAATTTCTTGCTTTAACATTCTTCTCATAGCTTTTCTCTAATTTCTCTGAAGCCTAAGTCAGTGATCCTCACTGGCATCTGAACATTATTACTGGGTCAGGGAGGGACGGGTATTGTCAGAAACATGAATTCCCTGCTGAATTGCCACAGAATTCCCATAGCAATGGGAACAGTTAGCCTGGACTCAAGAACCTGCATTTTTAACAAGAATCCAAGTAAAAACCACTGGTATGGGATTGGGACCAGGTGATGGGTTTATAAAATGTCAACCAAGTATAGGCACAGTGGCTCACACTTGTAATCCCAGCACTTTGGGAGGCTGAAGCAGGTGGATTACTTCAACCCAGCAGTTTGAGACCACCCTGAGTAACATAGTGTGACTCCATCTCTACAGAAAAAAAAAAAAAATTTTTTTTAATTAGCTGGGCATGGTGGTTCATGCCTGTAGTCCCAGCTACTGGGAGGTTGAGGCAGGAGGATCACTTGAGCCCAGGAGTTCTAGACCAGCCTAGACAACATCGCAAGACCTCGTCTCTACTAAAAATAAGAAAACTTAGCTGGGCGTGGTGGTGTGTGCCTGTAGTCCCAGCTACCTGAGAGGGTGAGGCAGGAAGATCACCTGAGCCCAGGATTTCAAGGTTGCAGGGAGCTATGACTACACCACTGCACTTTAGCCTGGGTGACAGATGGAGACCCTGTTTCAAAAGAGAAAAAGTCAACCCAAACCATCCAATGATGCTTCAAATGGATCTGATAATCCTTTAATAAACAATATAAAAACTAGGCCAATTTATTTGTAAAAAGTCTTTAAGAATGATTCTTTTCGCTAAATCTATTTTGCAATGTGTCACAAACATAATTTTGAATATATAATAATATCACTTACTCTGTAAAAATGGCAAAAATATGAAAAATTCCTCATCCAACTGGGATTGAAGAGGAGAAAACTGTCCCGTCAATTTTTTGTAAATTGCACAGCCATGTCTGTTTGACCTGTAATAGTGTCAGCAGCTCGGGGAAAACTCGGGGCTTTACTGTTACCTAACATCACAGCACAATCATTTGGATGACTTTTTGTTTCATTTGTACCATTCTGAGCTTTTAAGGTCATTAAAAGATTATTCCCCCAAAGATGGGAAATTAAATTTTATTAACAATCTACTTAATTACATCTGTCTTTGAGGTCTGTCCTTGTCTCCCGATTAAGAAAAGTTCAACATTCATAGAAGTTGACTGTGCTACACAGTAAGTTAGGACAAGTGGTTTTGATATCAGTGAAAATTAAAATGGATCTAAAAGCTCCAATATGCGAAGCCAGCTAGAGTCAGAAATAACCGGTCTCCTACTGCTGTCCTTACCTCCTTCTGCCTGGGAAAAGGTATGGAATTGTGAAACCTCACCTCTAGGGTCCAGTCCTGGAAGGCCCTGCAGATGACCCAAAATCTATCACAACAATCTCAGCACCTGAACTTTTAAACTGCCTGGGGCACAAAGATCTAGCAACCATTTGTGATGATAGCATCTAGTGAACTGTATAAGTGCTTGTTCTTTTTCCCCAGAGTTATTTCCCAGGGAGCAAGACTTTGCAGAAGGTCCAGGCCCACTGCCTGGTGAATGCTCCAGCTCTTAGCTCGACAGAGCTTGGCAGCCTTCCAGAAGCAGCTCCTGTTTATTGGGCTCTTGGGGCCACAGAGAGGGAAGGTGACAGAGAATGACATCTGGAGTAGCTAAGGGACACGAGGATGTAAAATGTTTCCCCCACACAGGTTAGTAACTAGAGCCTGACCCGGAATCGTAACTGATCACTCTTTTAGAGTGCAAACGCAAGACGGTCTGTGGTTCGTGTATCTCTTCATGCAAGGAATCAGATCATTCCTCTCCCTGAATCCCCTGAGGGACTGGGAGAGAGTTTGGCTTCTGGCTTCTGTAAGAAGAGGCCAGCAGGTAGAAAGGGGGAACAGAAGGGAAAGTGAGAAGGGTATTTACTCAATCTGAATTAAAAATTTGCTTACATCCTGAAGTTGGTAATTACCCTGAGAAATTAGCCCACTTCAATTGAAGAAGTATTTGTTGGACATTTAATGCACAAAGACACAGAGTCACATAACATCCATACGTCATTGTGGGGTGCTGTCTACGACATCTACCCCACTACCTGCAGCAATGAAGCCAACACCTAAAAGGGAATGGCTTTTTAAAAAGGTGGAGAGAAGGCTCCTTCCAGAAGGAAACACCATTCATTCAGAAATAGAGATATAGAGACTACCTAGTCCAACCCTTTACTTTAAAGAGGAGAAACCTGAGACCCAACTGGATTATGTTCGTGCCCAATTCTATCTTTTCTCCAAGTGGCTTCAGTTTTGGGGATTGCCTTGTATTTTTTAATCTATAAGAAGAAAGGTGTTTATTCCCTCAGGACCTGTTGGCTTATCTTGCCAAACATTTCATGGGAATGTGAACAGCCTCTTAGAATCTTGTCAATATTAAAATTCACCTATGTCATCATTTTCAAAGGGCTGAGAAAACATGCCTTATCAAAGGAAACCTTCAATTCAGGAAATCAAATGTTGAATGCACTCCCCATTGTCCATATCCTCCGCTTCTATTCCTGGCATGCACTCTTTTCTTTTTGCAGACATGCTTCCACATCCCAGGAAAACTGGGTTCTCTTCCCTTGAGCCAAGAATGACGTGGGAAAGTTACCACACTTGAAAGCTCCATGGCTTCCTCTCTCTCTCTCCCTCCCCTGACCTCCCAACCCCATTTCCCTGAAGACTGTGACCATAAATTTACTCTGCCTTGGGCAGGAAAGCAGAGAAGCCACTTTAGCTGCTATAAAAATGAGTTATCTGATTCACATCTGAGATTAATAATAGAACTACCTGTTCTAGGAAACTGGCACTTGTGATGGCTTCCTCCATGTGCTCCTCATCAGACTTCAAAACAGATTTAATGTTTTCTACAAGTTCATGGATGTCTGGGGTCATGGTACAGGAGGACTGCTCCAGGAACCTTGCCACCAGCAGCTTGGTGTCCAGGTAGGATTTGTAATCTATCAAAGACCGCGGTCTGCATCGCGAAGTTCTCGATCTCAAGCCTCTCCTCAGAGTCACCGCAGCCAGATCCAGTCTCCTTTCAGTCTGTGTCGCAGCTTCACAGCTGAGCACCGGGGCAGCTGTGGGCAGAAACAAACAACGCGAACCCATTGGCCAACCCCTTTTGAACACATGCCCGTACCTGAAAGCACAGACCACAAAACTCAACATGGAAAGCATCTGACAAATGCTGATAGCCATGCACATCCTGCTTTTCATCTTGCAGAAGGGGGGAAAACAATTTTGACACAAGGTTATTCCCTGATGTCCAGTTCCAATAGGATATGGCCCAAAACATGTCATCGTGCCATGTGACATCACCTGCAAGGTAAAGCCAGATGGTGGAGAGGAGAATCCAGAATGCAAGCCATAATGAAGTTAAGTTTCATGGGGTATGACAAACAGATGGGCATGGATGGGCCAAGCAGGAAAAATGTGGCTGACCCATGAAAGGATGTTCCAAGGAGCAAGGATGAAGTAGTCAATTAAGAGAGGAAAGGGCTGAAGAGACAAGACTTGTCAGATGAATGTAATGCTCTGATCACTTTGACTATACCTTTGTCCCAAACGTCCTCAAGGACATTGTACTGACTTGTGCTATCGATGCTCACACCATGGATATGAGGTAGATCTATAGCTATTACAGAAAGAGAAATTTAGATGCAGAAAAAGTACACATCATGCTGGAAGTCAACACAGGGCCTGGGAAATCCATCGCAGGCTCTAATTTCCATGGCTACCTACATCAGCAAGGGTGTAAAGAC